ATTAACTCATATAAATCAAATATAATTTCGTAAATTGCATAAACAATTATGAACAAAACAGCATCATGTATTTATGCATTGCTTAATCCAAAGAGCCGAAGCGCCATTCACACAGATTGCATTTAAAAACATGAGACGCAGTGAAAAGGAATAAATCTCCACAAATTCGTGATGTGTTTTCTAAAAGTTTAAACTGTTTTAACTTTGCATGGCTACTAGTGGTCGACCGATATATCGCCAAGGCCGATATGTTGGCCGATATTTGGCATTTTTCAAATATCGGCATTGGCCGATAAGTTTTTCTGCCTGGCCGCTGTGTTCGAGGCGGGACTTTTATTTTGACGGCGCTGATAAAGGCAGCGCCAGAGCACACAGTGCTCACATTCTCCCTCTTCATTGTTTGTTGTCGTCGTTTAACAGTTCTGCCTAATACAGATAGAAGTCTGTCTAATAATCAGATAGAACTGTTGAACAAATGAATTAAAAGGTATACAAAAAGTATTATAACGTTTGCTTTTATATTATTAGTAACAGAAAGGCAGATTATAAAAATTATAATAAATAACATGCAAAATAAATAGAGAAACGTTAGCATAATGTACACATTTACAAATGAACATATCCATATCAAAAAAAAAATACAATACAAAAATACATTCATAGTCTGTACATATATTATGATTATATAAAATCAAGACCAGTGAACATGCTTTTTAATGCACTTTATATGATTTCTATTCAATTTTATTTTAGCTCTAGTTGTAGGTATTTTAATTTTATCAAGTTAAACTAATTTGAAAATGAGAACTGAAATAAAAAAAGTTTGTTTTTTAATACATTTTATTGATTTCAATGTATTTATTTATTTCAGTTAATGTGTTTTATTTCAAGTAACTAATTTACTTTTTTTTTTTACCTATGGTTTTAAGTTAATAATGACCCTGGTACTGTGTAGGATGTCAGATAAGTGTAGTGTGCTTCAAATCATAGTGTTGAATATAGTCAATAGTGAAACATTATAGTTTTATAATCTCATGTATTTCTGAGTGAAAAAGGATTATAGAGGAAGATTAGATTGGATTGTGAATGGTCGACGTTACACACCTGCTAGTGATATTAGTAAGCAAATGTCCAGTGACTTGGTGACCTACAGTTATGTCTGTAATGATATGTGACCCTGGAGCACAAAACCAGTCATAAGGGTCAATTTTTTGAAATTGAGATTAATGCATCAGCTGAATAAATAATCTTTCCATTGATGTGTGGTTTGTTAGGATAGGACAATATTTGGCTGAGATACAACTATTTGAAAATCTGGAATCTGAGGGTGCAAAAAAATCTAAATATTGAGAAAATCATCTTTAAAGTTGTTCAAATTAAGTTCTTAGCAATGCATATTACTAATCACAAATTAAGTTTTGATATATTTACGGTAGGAAATTTACTAAATATCTTCATGGAACATGATCTTTACTTAATATCCTAATAATTTTTGGCATAAAAGAAAAATCATTTTGACCCATACAATGTATTGTTGGCTATTGCTACAAATATACCCCAGCGACTTAACACTGCTTTTGTGCTCCAGGGACACGTATGATGTAGCTCTGCCTGTTCTGATAGTGACAGTAACTGTGTGTCCGTACATCAGACTTTCAGAACTACCTGAGAACACAGACGGGGAACAACACGACGGTCAACATCATCATCTCCACCGTGGATTACCTGCTCCGAGTCCAGGTGAGCGATTCCTCCGTGAACCCGTCAGGATCACGCTCTCGTAACACACATCTGACACACGTGTGCTCTGCGTGTCCGCAGGAGTCCATCAGTGATTTCTACTGGTACTACTCTGGGAAAGAGGTCATCGATGAACAAGGCCAGCGCAACTTCTCCAAAGCAATCAATGTAGCCAAACAAGTCTTCAACACGCTCACAGAGTACATTCAGGTGCGATCCATCGCTCTGCTGCGTTTCAGAGCAGCTCAGAAGTCATCAGAGCACCGAGGATCTCCAGTGTTTATGATTTACACAATGGGGAAAACTGAGGCATCCAGTCATTAAAATATAATTTGGTTTGGTTTTAGGGCCCTTGTACGGGGAATCAGCAGAGTCTGGCTCACAGCCGTCTGTGGGACGCAGTTGTTGGTTTCTTGCACGTTTTCGCACATATGCAGATGAAGCTGTCTCAGGTAAACATCTACAGAGATGTTCAACAAACACAGCAAAGCTTCTGCAAATACAGCATGACATGAAGGAGTGGCCCCTGTTTACCTTCTCTGAGTTACTGTGATGTTTTGCTGCTGCAGGATTCAAGCCAAATCGAGCTGCTGAAGGAGCTCATGGATCTTCAGAAGGATATGGTCGTGATGCTCTTGTCCATGCTGGAAGGTGAGTTCACTTAGTGGATTGATTGACTAGTAATGCTCATGAAACGATCGTCTTTCCCTTGGTTTTAGGAAATGTTGTGAACGGCACCATTGGAAAGCAGATGGTGGACATGTTGGTGGAGTCCTCAAACAACGTGGAGATGATTCTGAAGTTCTTCGACATGTTCCTCAAACTGAAAGATCTGACGTCGTCAGACGCCTTCAAAGAGTACGACCCCGACAGCAAAGGCGTCATCTCCAAGAGGGACTTCCACAAGGCCATGGAGAGCCATAAACATTACACCCAATCCGAGACCGAGTTCCTGCTCTCCTGCGCCGAAACCGACGAAAACGAGCTCTTGGATTATGAAGAGTTCGTCGAACGCTTCCACGAACCAGCCAAGGACATCGGCTTCAACGTGGCTGTCCTTCTAACCAACCTCTCGGAGCACATGCCCCACGACTCACGTCTCCAGACCTTCCTGGAGCTAGCCGAGAGCGTGCTAAACTACTTCCAGCCCTACCTAGGCCGCATCGAGATCATGGGCAGCGCTAAACGGATCGAGCGCGTCTACTTCGAGATCAGCGAGTCCAGCCGCACTCAATGGGAGAAGCCGCAGGTCAAAGAGTCCAAACGCCAGTTCATTTTCGACGTGGTGAACGAAGGCGGCGAGAAGGAGAAGATGGAGCTCTTTGTTAACTTCTGCGAAGACACCATCTTCGAGATGCAGCTGGCGGCGCAGATGTCCGACGCCGGCGAGCGCTCGGCCAGCAAAGAGGACAGCGAGAGAGAGAAACCCGAGGAGGAGAGTCCCGAGATGGGCTTCTTCTCCATCACCACCGTACGAACGGCTCTGTTTGCCTTACGATACAACGTGATGCTCTTAATGAAAGTGCTGTCTATGAAGAGCCTGAAGAAGCAGGTGAAGAAAGCCAAGAAGATGACGGTGAAGGACATGGTGACCACACTGGTGTCTTTCTATTGGAGCGTGCTGCTGGGACTCCTGCACTTCGCCTTCAGCGTCGCTCGAGGATTCTTCCGGATCGTTTACAACAGCTTTCTCGGAGGCAGTCTGGTGGAGGACGCCAAGACCATGAAGGTGTCGGAGCTCCTGGCTAACATGCCTGATCCGACTCAAGACGAGGTGAGAGGAGAAATGGAGGAGAGCGAGAAGAAACCCACGGACAGAACCTCACCCGAGGAAGACCTGGCCGATCTGACGGTGGCCGCAGACGACACCGACCTCCTGTCCGATATATTCGGTTTGGACCTGAAAAGAGAAGGAGGGCAGTACAAACTGATGCCTCACAATCCGAACGCTAGCCTCACGGATCTGCTCAACACACCCATCCCTCCTCCGCCTGCACCCTCGCCAGACCTCCGCAGGAGACACCAGGTAACAGTGCTGATGCTGTTGGTGCTAAGGTTAATGCTGTTTTTCCAAACATATTAATTGACGACCACTTTTTCCATGACTGAGACGAGACGACACTGACATCATTACAGTGACTATATCAACATGCAATATCATTTACATTTAGTCATTTAGCAGACGCTTTTATCCAAAGCGACTTACAAATGAGGACAATAGAAGCAATCAAAATCAACAAAAGAGCAACACTATATAAGTGCAAATGACAAGTCTCGGTTAGCCTAAAGCAGTACACATAGCAAGGTATTTATATATATATATACACATACACACACACACACACACACACACAAAGAAAAA